TTTACACAAGACCGAAATCGAAACCTTAAGAATGCGTGTAGATAATAATAATAATAATAAGGAAAAAAGAAAGAAAGAAAGGAAACGAGTCATTAAATAATAATAATAATAATATTTTAAGAAGGATAATTTGATAAATTTAGGACGATTAAGATGACATGTTTCACACGTTAAAGGCTTCGGTAAAAATTGTTCGAAAGCTAAATATGAAAGTGACGACGACGATGATAGAATTCCAACAGCGCGACAAACCTTAAATTGAAAAAAAAAAAAAAAAAAATTTCAATTTAATTTGAAATTTATTTCTTTTTTTTTTTCCTCCCATTTTCGTTCATAATTAAAAAAAAAACCGTTAACCATCAGTACCTGATTCCATAAAAAAAAAAATTACAAAAAAAAGGTTCTTGACACGGAGGAACAGTAAACGATTCGAGATTCGATTCGATTCGATATTGGTCATTATAAATTATAAATACTGTCACGGACGGATTATTGGATATTTCAAAATATAAAAATCTTGTTTGTTTGTTTGTTCGTTTGTTTGTTCATTCATTCAAGGACTTAATTTTAACACTTAATCCGCCCTAATTACAACTAATTGAATTTTGCTAATCGAACATTCGTTTGTTTCGCACAAACGGAAAAATAAAAAAAAAATGTTCGATCGGTCATAATCAATAACCATTTCAATTTATATCGATTTGAAAATTGATGATAAATCAATTTTTTTTCAAAATACCTGACAGGTGAACCGAGTCGTCAACAAACGAACCATAAATTTATCTTTTTTACATATAAAATTATGTTATCATCTCACGTTATTACCTAATAAATAATAATAATAATAATAATAAAATGTTTGCATATTTTAAATAATGGGTTAGTAGGAAAAATCGGTTTTCTTTTCTTTACGAAAACGAATTTTTTTTAAGAGAACCGCATTGTAAAACTTTTACTCGCACGTGACGTTACGACCTTGGTGACCTCGTTCGAACATCATTTTTTTTTTTTTTTTAATTAAAATTTACGACCATCGTCGTGAAACTTTCTTTTACCCGCAATTGACAATTGACCATTGAGTAGTAGTAGTGCGGCCATTTTAAATTGATAAAAAAAAATCGTGGATTTACCCGATTGAAAGTTATCGTAGAATTCGTTTAATAATTTCATACGTTCCAAATCATTAACAAATTGGATTCACATTTACCGAATAATAAAAAGAAAGAAAGAGATAGACAAATTGAACCCCCCCCCCAAAAAAAAAAAGAAAGAGATAAAAAAATTGAAACCCCCCCTCAAGAAGAAAGAAAGAGATAGACAAACCGAAAATTATTATTTGTTTCATTTATAAATAAATCACTCGATACCATCATTTACACAAAAGAGGTTTTTTTTTCTATTTTTTTTCTGCTTTTGATCGTTACGAAAATAATAATAATAATAATAATAATAATAATAATAATAATAATAATAATAATAATAATAATAATAATACTCTTATGATATACTCTCTATACGGTTTGCTATAACTTCTTAAAAAATTTTGCTAACCGTCAATTAAGGATTTGTATTACTGACTCTCTCTCTTTCTCTCTCTCTCATATCATACTTCACGAATATTTTATTTCGTTTTGCTATTATTATTATCATTATTATTATTTTTAATGGGGGAGGGGGGGGGTTTATTCATCGTTTCGACAATTTAACAAACGTATCTTTTACCGTTTCACACTAAAACTTTTTTTTTTTTTTTCTTTTGATCTGAATAAAAATGCGATTTTAACGATGTCAGTTATTATTATCATCATTATTTTTATTATTTAACATCCCGAAGGCTTTGTTTAAATTTTACCCCCTCCCCCTCCCCCCAATTTCTTAAACTTTCCAAAACCGTCTTTATGTTATTTTATTTTTTTTCGAAACGTGCGTGTAAGAGTGATAATAAAAAAAAAATTTCAAACGCGCTTTCGAATTTATTCCAGAAAAAGTCACAAATTAATTTCTTTCACCTGTTTTCTTTTTTTTCTATTTAAAAATTTTGAATTTGATGAATGAACGTTAAAATTAAATTTAAAAATAAAAAATTTTGGGTGTGCGTGAGTGGGTGCGTGCGTGCGTGCGTGCATGCTTTGGGGGGGACGATCAATTAAAAATTCAAAGTTTTTTCCTTTTTTACGGGGGTCATTAACGACAGTAAAAATAAAAATCATATTAAAATTAATAAATTTTTTTAACATGGCGGTAGGTTATGATAATAATAATAAAATAAATTAATGCATAATCAACGAATTTATCGTCACGCCGACCGAAAAAATCGATCGATTTTTTTTTAACACCCCGACTGACTTTCGTAAAATTTATTATTAAAAACCAAAATGGCTTCTTTTAATCGTAAGAAATTAACGAGATTTAATTAACACCTTAAAACCTTTTTGCGACAGCAAAACGACAAAACTGTAATTAATTTAATGACATTTAAAAAATTTACAAAAACTAAACCCATTTTTCTCCGTTTTTTTCCTTTTTTCGTACGCCATTATCCGCAAAAATAAACGACAGCAAATAGAAATTCGATCGAAAAATAATAATAATAATAAGATGAGCGATTAGAAAAGACACTTTATCACGTTTTCCTAATTATTATTATTATTATTTATATTATTTAAAAACCGTCGTCGCACTCGCCCGGATTAATTAAATTAAATCACGAATTATTTAATATTATTTATCAAAAGATTAATTAATGATTACCTAACAAACGAACGTAACACTACAACAACACGCATATTCAATCTCGTACAAACACACAAACAAACAGACAAACACCGAGTTTAATTAATAATTTTAAAAATAAAAGTCATCTTAATTATAAACACTGCAAAAAAAAAAAAAGAACACACACACACAAACACCAAATCCATCAAAAACATTAAATAAAAAATTGTTTTTGTTTGTTTGTTTGTTTGTTTGTTACATACCTGAAATTATCCTTTGATTCATCCATATTATTATTATTATTATCTGAAAAATAAAAATAGATTTTTTTAAAAAAAAACTCCAGACATCTGCTTTTAATTATTTTAACGTTAGATATTAGATGTTATTTATGTTTTTTTTTCCTTTCTCTCTCTCTCTCTCTCTCTCTCTCTCTTTTCTGTCTGTCTCTCTTCTCTCTCTTCATTTTAATGATTAAAATCAAGGGATCTGGTGCATTTAATTTAAAAAAAATAAAAACGAATGGAAAAACAAAATAAAAATTGTTTTTTTTAATTCCAGCATATTAAAAAAAAAAAAATTCTCATCATTCTCTCGAATAATGTCATATAAAATTATCCCATTTGAATTCTCACAAGACAAAAAATATTATTATCATTATTTTTTTTTTTTAAACAAGGAATTGAATGTTTGTTTTCGATTGTTATCAGAGCAATTGACAATTTTATGATAATGTCAAAGACATTGTTACCACTATAAAAAAAAAAATTCGAAAAAACCTTGTCAGTAGTTTGTTTAAATATTTAATTAAATAAAATAAAACAACACGCGATTTTTTGAACGTTCGAAAACGTATTAAAAAATTTATATAGCGAACGTTTATAATTTTATTAAACACCTCATTCACAAACGTTCGTGGTGATAAAGTCGTCGTGGCAGCAAAATAATTTTTTTTTGGTTGAATTTAAGGTTAAAAATGTCAAATGACACGATCTCTTTTCGAATCTCCCAACCGATTTGCCAACGATAATTTTAATATAAAACTTATTATATTCATCATTATCATCATCATCGTCATCGTCATCGTCATTCTCATTTTTACAATTATTATTATTATTATTACTATGTTTTTGTTTCAAAAATTAAAAGTTATCGCGTCCGAAAAAAAAATGGAATAAAAACATTAAAAAAAACAACGTTTTAACGAGTTTAATACGAGTCACTGAAAATAATATTGACCGTTTTTACGCGTAATGTCAAAAAATCACGACCTTTGACAAAAATAATAATAATAATAATTTCTTTTTTTTTTTTTTTTTTACCCGGTTAATATTATTATTATTGAGAGATAAACGTTTTCGAGGACGATGAGGAGAGGGAGAAAGAGTTTTTTTCGACGGGGGGGGGGTTTACGGGAATTTTGCTGTGAAAATTTCGTTTAAATGAAATCGATAAAAGTTCAATACCATCGAGTGTGCGTGTGTGCGTGCGTGTTTGTGCGTGAATGTTTGAATCGAAATTAAAATTATCACAAAACAGATGCGCGAGCCGAGAGTTTAAAAACTCGGATTTTTTAGGATTTATTTTATATTTGAAATCATTCATTGATTGATTGATTGATTGACTTTAACGATTCTCGGTTTTACCCCGAACGTATAATAAATAATTTTAACGACGGTAAAATTTCAAAATGGTGGATTTTTAAACAATTCGAAGTGAATTTTTTTTTTTTTATAAATAAAAAGTTGAACTTGAAATATTTATATAAACATTCGCATTTAAAATTAATATTAATATTAATAATAATAATAATAATAATAATAATAATAATAATAATAATAATAATAATAATAATAATAATGATAATAATAATGATAATGATAATGATGGAAAAAAACAAAAAAAAGTAAAACTTAATGGAATCGATTAAAAATTTTGTTGTAAGTGTTGCTATAAAAAAAATTCTTCTTTCGCTTGAAATCTAAACCACTTATTATTATTATTATCATCATCATCATCATCATTATTATTATAATATTAAATAGAATTTTAATGTCGGACTTGAAAATATTTTCAATTAATTAAACTCGTTCCGTTTTATTTATTTATTTATTTATTTATTTATTATTATTATGACTACCCACCGTTGTCGTCGTCATCATCATCATCATTATTTAGTTTTTTTTTCCGTTCGATTTTTTTTTTTTTTTTTTTTGCAAAAGTTCATTTATCATTTTAAATAATTATTATTATTATTACTGAGACCGAATTATTTATAAAAAATTATGTTAAACTCATTTCAAAGTACGACGATGACGACAATCGATGATGACTGTGACGTAATCAACTTTTTAAATTTTCTATCATTTTAAATAATAATAATAATAATAATGATTTTAACTGTAAAAACTAATTAACACCGCGTTTACACACACGCGCACACACACACACACACACACACAATTCGGCACGTTTATTAATTATTATTATTATTATTATTAACTCAAATTTAAATTTTTCCATTTTTTTCAGGTTCTTACGCAACGTACGTCGATACATTTTACGACACTTAAATCCATCGAATGAAAAATTTGCCACCCTCTCCCCCCCCCACCCGCGCCCTCTTTTTCAAAAAGCAAACAAACTGAAGTGAAAATTTATCGAAACCTAAAAGTAAGCGATGTGTTACATTTTATAGTTTGAAAATTTCTGGAAAAATTTCCAGTGGGAAAATAAAAATTAGTTTTTTGTTTTTCGCAGTCATAATGATGACGACGACGACGATGAAAACGACGTTCATAACGACGCCGACGACAAATTTCGGTAATAATAATAAGAAAGTTGAAATATTCAAGGGAGGACGTCAAGTCAAACAAGAATTTTCGAAATTTATAGAAAAACCGACGAATCTTTCTCAGGTAAGCAAATCTCTCTCTCTCTCATCGAACGCTTTCTATCAACTTTAAATTTTTTTTTTTTTTAAATTAAATTATTATTATTATTAAAATCATATTGTAATACATTTTGCACGAAAATAAGATGGAAAAAAAAAGAAGAAGTGACGATAATAATAATAATAATGGAAACGTTTAAAAAAATGAAACTCGTTCACAACCCGACTGTAACTAATGTTTTTTTTTATAAACTTTTTCATTTTTTTTTTTTTTTTTAATATTATTTATTATTATTATTATCTTTTTTTACTTTTCTTTTAATTGACCATTAAATATTCAGTTATCGATTGAATAGAAAAAAAAAAAAACAAAACAATGAATTCTTAATATCCGGTTCATCTTGTATTCAAAAACCGCAAAACGGAGATTGATTGATTGATTGATTCGTTTAAGGTTTTGTCGAATTTATTTTTATTGATTTCATTTAATAAAAACAAACAAATCGTTGACCCCTCGCCCCTCCCCTCCCCCTCCTACCCTCTTCTTTAAAAATAAATTACGTTTAATAATTTTTTTTAGAAAAAATTACCGGAAACGGATGAAGATTATTTAGAATTGTATCAAGATAGAATATTGAACGCTCAAAAAAGACAATTGTTTCCACTACAAGAAGATTTAGCGGATTGGTTAAATAAAACTCTCGGTAAGTTAAACATTTTTGTTTGTTTGTTTGTTTGTTTAAAAGAAAGAAACGACAAATTCGATTTTTGACCGGAAGTTTTACGTCAAAAACATCATCAAAAAACGTATCAAAACGGTTTATTTACGATAAAACCATCTCTAATATCGATAAAATAATGCAATAATAATAATAATAATAATAATAATATTAATAATAATAAAACGTAATAAAATCATGAAATTTTACAAAAACGAAACGAATGTCATAGAGTTTACAAACGACACACACGCATGTAAATCGTTAAGAAAAATCGATATAAAAAAATCATCATCATCATCATTATTAACATTGTTATTTATTTATTTATTTATTGAAATAATATAAAATGTAGAATTTTTCTTTTCTTTTCTTTTCTTTTCTTTTTTCTTCACATATGAATGAGAATCGACAATTAATTTAATTACACACAAGTTGAAAATTTACAAGAAATAAAAAACATTTATAGAAAAAGAGAGAGAGAGAGAGCGAATTAATAAAATATTTATTATAAAATCGTATTATTATTATTATTTGCACGGTCATTCCGACCAATTTTTTTTTTTCTAATAATTAGCTCAGTCACGTAAATTTATAATTAATCATTCTTTCCGCACAAAAAAGAAAAAAAAATCAGACAAAATCGTGGTGGATGCATTCAAATGTAATTTTTTTTTTTTTTTTTCACTCTCGCGCTCGTGAATTCAAACTTTTTAATATAATAATAATAATAATAACAGTAATCGAAACGAGTAACAAATTAAAATAAAAAAACGACTTGTAATTTTATTATTATTATTATTATTACTCGAAGATGATGATGATGATGATGAGTTTGATAATGAATTTTGCATAGTAAAAAATTTAACGTGCTATCTAGGCAGCCAGCCAGCCAGCCAGAGAAAAATACAAAAACGGTAAATAATAATAATAATAATAATAATTCGAAATTCGAATCAGGTATTATTATTATTATTATGAATTGTTCCAGTTAAAAAACGTTTAACTTTTTTTTTAACAAAAAAAAAAAAAAAAAGTAACGTTTTAAGGTCAAAATTCAAACGCGTACTTAAAAAAAAAAAAAAAAAAAAAAAAAAATTTTTTTTTTTTTTTCTTACGTGTTTCACATTAACAAGGTTTGTTTATTACCTATTACGAAGTGAAATTTAATTATTTTAAAAACACGATTCAATTCAAATTTATTTTAAAAAAAAAAAATGGCGACATTTGACCTAAATTTAATTACATATGTACGAAAATAATAATAATACTAATACTCGATCGACATTTGATACTCTCGAAAGTAACAAAAAAAAAAAAAAAATCGAAGCGAAAATTATTACGTCTTATTATTAATAATAATAATAAAAATATATTAATCATTTATTTGTATAAACGGAAACGGAAGTGATTTTTACATTTTTCTTTTTTTTGCACGAGGAAATTATCTAACGATTTGTAAACTCATAAATAAATTAATCGTGCCGCCGAAAAAATAATAATAATAAAACAAACGTTTAGAAAATGATACGGAATTTTTTTTTTTGGGTGTCGCCATCATTGAAATCACCGACAAATTATTTTATAAAAAAAAAAAAAAACGGGGGGCGTTACCTTTTTTTATTTATTTTATTTTAAATTGAATTGATATTTAAAAAAATGTTTTTAATGATGATTCGAATGATGACGAAAAAAAAAACAATATAAATTTCTTGACGTTTAATCGCGTCGGCATAACCGTTATTACAAACGAAAAATCCCGATGGTAGAGAGGAATCTTTTAATCCGCAAAATTTCCCCCCATCCTTCCTCCCTCCCTCTCTCCTCCCCTTCGAAATCTATCATTAACTTTAATGCGTGTTATCATTTTGCAATATTATTATTATCATCATCCCATACGTACACATCCGTAATGTGTAACGACGACGTCTCCCATTTTTTCTCCCCATAAATATTATTAACCGCCTATTATTGTTACCGCTACGAATTTTGCAAAATTAAAAAAAAAAAAAAAAAATCGGGGGTCCACATGTTTTTCGTTCGTCGTAATTACGTGACGTTATTTCGAAATGAATAATAATAATAATAATAATAATAATAATAATAATAATAATAATAATAATAATAATAATAATAAAGTACCCTTCAATAATGGCAAAAAAAAAAAAATTTTCTCGTTTGTTTACATTTTTCCGTAGTGTGAAAAACATCGCGACGATTACTTCCGAATTTTTTACGAAAGAAAATTTTCCGAAATTTTCCGGAAAGAAAATTTTTACGGATTTAAAAATTCAAATTTAAATGTAAAAAAAAAAGAAAAAAAAAAAATAATAATAAGCAAAATATAGATATAGGAAGACTAGGTTTGTCGTAATTATATTATTGTGGCATAATTTCCCCGTTAGAAAATAAGGAAATATCGAAGCGTACTCATTATTATTATTATTATTTTTTTTTAGTTAAAAAACCGAAACAAATAGAAAGTTTTTTTAAAAATTTTTCTATTTCTCTCTCTCTTTCTCTCTCTCTCTCTTTTACTTTTCGTAAATGGTAGTTACATTTACCGATGTCACATTCAAACTAAATAACAATTTTTACAGTCACAAAAAAAAAAAAAATTATCACGTACATTGAAAAGAAAAAAAAAAAAAAAAACAACATTTTTTCCCTCTCTCTCTCTCTCTTTCTATCATTTTCTATTTTTGAATACGCCGCGTTTTTTTTTTTTTTTTTTTTTTTTTTTTAAATCGAGTCTCCAATATAGTAATTGAGTTAATTAAAATTAAATTTTTTTTTTTTTTCTTTCATTCTTTCTTTTTTTTTTTTTTCAACTATTTTGAAATTACTACATTCGAATAAAAAACAAAATTTTTTCTCTTTTTTTTCTTTCTCTCTCTCTCTCTTTTTTTTTTATTCCGGCATTAATAATCATTAATAATTTTTTTTAAAACTGGCAAACGAATACTTGTCAACTTTTTACGGTCTTTCTTTCTATCTCTCTTTCTCTCAAATGATAATTAATAATAAATAATTTTTAATGAAATAAATTATTTTTAAAAAAACGAGTTTAATGCGTTGTTTTCAAAAAAAAAAAAAAAAAATTATCCGGTTAAGTGACAAACTAATTTTTATTTGACGAGAAAGAGAGAGAGAAAAAAAAAACATTAACAAAATACAACAAACACAAAACGAATCTTTCACCATTAACGAAAATGGTAAAAAAACCAAAAACGCAGAATCTCATAACAAACAACAACAATCAACATTTGAAATTCTTATACGTAGACATCGTAACGCACGTAATAATTAAAAAAATGAAAATGCGCAAAAACGTTTTTGTAAGATAACAAACGATTATTATTATTATTATTACACAGGTAAAACTTTCCAGTTAAAGAGGAGGCATCCCTTTAATTACGATTAATATCTTAAAAAAACCTACAATCAACAACAACAATCTGATCCCTCGTGTTATTACGTAAAAAAAAAAAAAAAAGAAATTACCCGTTTTTAATTTTTAAAGTCAATTAGGAAGTATTCATAGATGAAATCAACAAACAAACGTTCATCATTATTTTTTTCACTTTTGCAAAAAAACAAACGAACAAACAAACAAACAACAAAACGTTCGCTAACACAACAATAAATTTTTATCGTTAATCAACCACTCGACATTTTTTTTTCTCTACTTTTCCCCATTTAATTAATATAAATTTTATTTATAATTTAAAAAAAAAAAAAAAACTTCTTCCATCTTTAAAAAAAAAGTTATATTATGGTGATAATTATTTTTTTTTTCATAACGTCAAATACGTGAAAACATTTTTATTTATTTATTTATTTTCATAACTTTTTTTTTTTTTTCGAAAACGTTATCATCAATATTTTTTTAATAACTTTTTCTTTATTACATCATCATTCCCTGTAAAAATCATTATTTACGAATAACAACAAAAAATAATAATAATAATGATAGTAAATTACATAAAAGTAAACGTTTAAAGCAACAAACGCAAACACAACAACAATAATAATAATAATTACGATTATTATTATCGTCATCATCATCATCATTATTATAATTTTTTATTTACTTTTTGTATCGAGGGATATATTATTCGAGAGAAGAAGAATTTATTGGAATAACTTCCTGTCGAACGAGTTGAAAAGACAAAACAAAAATTGATGACGACAAACGAAACGTAAAATGTCCGCCATATTTAAAACAAACTACTCGTCAATAGTTAAAAACAACGAAAACATTTTAAAAATCCAATTTTAGTCGTTCGAAACAAAAAAAAAAAAAAAAAACTTTTACCGTGAATTTTTTTTTTTTGTCAAAAACCCGAGAGAGAGAGAGAGAGAGAGAAAGTGTCGTAAAAAGTGCGTTTGTGCGTGCGTGTGTGCGCGTGTATTATGATAATAAGGGAAGTTTTCAATTTGTCCCACAAAAATGTGACTTGAATTTTTTTTACATTAAAAAAACAATTTTTTTTTTTTTTTTTACTCTATGGTTAGATTGTCATTTCCGGTTGTTTGTAACTTACGTGTCCGTGGCTTTTTTTTTAACTATTTGTTTTCCTTATGAATTTTTTATAATAATAATAATAATAATAATAATAATAATAATAATAATAATAATAATAATAATAATAATAATAATAATAATAATAATAATAATAATAATAATAATAATAATAATAATAATAATAATAAATTCTCGAACGTTACGTAAAAACAAAAAAAAATTAAAATTAAAATTTGCCCATTGCATTGTTTGTAAAAAAAAAAAAAAAAAAAAATTTATTTGATTCAATGAATTCGAATAAAAGATTTAACGAAAAAAAAATTATTAATCAAATCGGCCCAAAGCCAAGCCCCCCAATACAAAAAAAATACGCCGCCACCTTTTTCCGGTCTTCTTTTTATTTGTTTCCGCCGCGAAATTTTTTTTTAAAATTTAAATTTTTTAATTTAAATTAATTTTTTCAATTTAAAATTTAAT